GCTAGGAAATGGAAACTATCTCGGGTTTGATTTCTCGCCTTTTACTTTATGCATGAACTTCCCCTTCTGTCTCTCCTAAGCTTTAGAATTCCCAGCTGCACACCTCCAGCTGTCAGGAATATGAATCAGAATATTCTCACTTAGAAGAGACCCACAAGGATCATCGAGTCCAACTTTTAAATGAACGGCCCATAGGGGGATCGAACTCACAACCTTGGCGTTATCAGCATCATGCTGAACTGAGCTCATCCCAGATGGAACCTGCGGGAGATGTGAGGGGTTCCGGCACCCACTGGGGGCAACCGGGCCACCTCCTGCCCCTCCTCACCTTGTACAGCTTCACCTGGTCGTGGTGGGGGAAGTGCAGGGTGGCCAGGAAGAGATGGACGAACTTGCTGCGCAGGCCGGCGGGGTGGACCTGCTCCGCCAGGATCTGGCTGAGGAAATTCTTGCCGGTGCCGGCCCAGCCGTGCAGCGACAGCATCAGCGGCTTCTTGGGGCTGGGGTTGTTGCTGAAGCCCAGCACCGCCTTCAGCACCACGTCCTTGGCCAGGTGCTGCCCGAAGAGCCTGCTGTCCAGCTGCGCCTTCAGCGCTGCGGGGAGAGGCACAGCTCAGCACCGCCGGTCACCGCGCACGCCCCGGGCCGCGCTGCCCAGCGACCGGCCGAGCCCCCCGCCCCCGCCGTACCGCTGGCGTTGAGGCGCTGCCCGGCGCGGGGGCAGCACTCCACGTAACTGCAGTAGAACCTGGGGTGGGACAGGTAGCCGGTGAGCGCCGAGGCCACGCCGATGGCCAGGCCCACGCTGAGCGGCTCCAGCGCCGCCAGCCCCGGCAGCAGCACCCACAGCAGCGGCACCGAGCGCGCCATGGCGGCACCGAGCGCGCGCGCCGCGCCCACCGCGCCTGCGCGCCCGCGCGCCCCCGCCCCGTGAGGGGACGCCGCCATCTTTGTGCCGGGCAGAGCTCCCGAGCCCCGGGGATGCAGCGCGTCACCTGCTGCCGGCTCCGCCGGGAAATTAAACCTCCAATTCCGCCTTTCTAGTGTTAGGAAGGCGTTACTTTAGTCTGGCCAGGCCGGCCACGTTGCAGCCTCCACACAGACACAAAGTTTTTTTTACTTATTTATACCTTTTTAGCAAGCAAGGAAATTAGTGCTTATCGGTGCTAAATTGCATCATTTTCTTTCATTAGTTACTATTCTACCTTCTATTGACTATTGATTTCTCGCTTCTTGTGCTAATTAGGCTATAATTTTGGTCTTTTTAGTATCTTTTTCCTCTGATAGGGACTTTACAATGCAGAAACGGAGTCTGTGCTAGTCTCCTACAAAATAGTTTCTACAAAATGTCCTCGTGGTCCATAATGTCTACATTTCGGGTGATCACCCTCAACAATACCTATTTCTCTCTCAGGCTTTGTTCATTGAGGCATATCAAGAGTTAGCTTACCAAAATGTAAAGTCTCGGTATTTTTCCAAGCTGTGTTCCCTGCCTGTTGATTCGTGTCATTGGCACCACCGGGAAGAGCCTGATCCACCTTCGTGGATATTTAGATATTTATACACATTGATGAGGTCTATCAGTGGCATCTGCCACCCTGATGGTGCCATAAACCCGCACAGCCCATTTCTGCCAATACAAACCGAGAAATCAGCAAGGAAAATGCTCCCGTACTGCTCAGAGAAGCAAGAGACACAGCTTCTTGTGGGATAAGGAACAAGGTTAATCTGCTTTGTAATTATAGTGATATATTAGATCTCTGCCTGGCAGAGCCGCTGTGGGTGGCGACCCTTACCTTCCACAAGCCCACCAAAGGAAGCTCTCACCACCCTGCGAAGGAACACCAGCTTGTCCCCCTTGCCCTTACCACTGCCTTACCTTTGAAGTTCACAGTGACATTCCTCTTGCAGCACTCCTGGAAGCGGCACTTGAGCCAGGAGTCGGAGGACAAGAGATGCCAAGCCATGACAGCGCTCCCCGCAACCACTGAAACGCTGAGAGGGTCAAAAGCCGGCGTCAGAGTGGGCACAAGAGCAAAGATTACTGCAGCCTTCAGGAGCTTCATGGTGGGAGCTGCCAGCCAGCCTGGCTCAGCAGGAAAAGAAACCAAAACAGAAAGTGCAGAAAAACTTCCTGGAGCTCGGAGCTGCTGAAGGGGCTGGAAGCCAAGTCTCCTGTAAGCTGGAGGTGTTAATGAGTTAACAGACTTATCACGCTGCTCCAGGAGAACTGAGAGTGTTGTGAACAGAGCACTGCATAGGCACAGTGAGAGTTTCACCAGAACAACCCCAGCTCTGATGGGAGGAGGACTGGAACCTCTCAGCTTCTTAACCAAGGTGCTATTTGGGCTGGTGATTAACGGAGAACACAGAGATGCTTGTTTTGGGCTTAATTGCGAGTGGTTGTGCACACAACGTTACACAGCCCGAGGATTACTGTAGCAGTGCTTAGGGCTCTGCAATTCGCAGCACTGAACGTGTCAGAAAGCTGCTGTATAAAACCAAGTCCTCAGAGCAGATTTTTTTTTTTATTTGTCTTGACAACTTCACTATCTCCCCACCACCAAAAAAAAAATCCCCAGAAAACAAACAAAACAAACAAACAAACAAAAAACCCACAAAAAATCCAAAACAAAACAATCCCCCCCACCCCGTGTTTGCAAACAAGAACAGACAGCAGAAAAGGGTTTGTTTTCTCAGCAGACACCTTTTTTTCATTAAATAAAGTTGTGAAACGCACTTTTCAGCAATTCCCATTTTATTTTTTTAAAATCTCGTTGGAGAAACGCTGAGCAGCGTTATTTGGCATTCAAAACACCTGCTCAAGATTCGGCGACTGCCTTGGCAAGGGAGCCCAGTGCTGCCGACTGCCGAGCACGGGAAGCGCCCTTGCTCCCTGCTGGAGAATCCAGGCTGTCAGCTGCCGCCGAGCTCTGCGGGGGCACAGCTCAGACCCTCGGTTCCCCGTTCCAAGGCTGAAATGGGGTTTCATTCCTGGGTTTGCCCAGGTGTCCTCCAAGCCCTTGGGTGTGCTGCCAAAAAAAGAAGGAGCTGGGCTTTCCAGGGCTTTCCTGCTGCTATCTCCACTTGGACACCCAGAGAGTCCAGAGGCAGGGAACTGGCAGTGGGATATGCAGGATTCAGTGTCGCCTGGGCTCGCCTCGAGCTCTCTTGGAGACAAACAAATTTTATAAAGGTGGTTTAATATCGCTGAAAAAGCTGGGAATTCTCCAGTCACCTCCTTCCTGTGCATCTGTCCGTGCTGAACACTAGATGGGGCGTCAGACACAGGGTTTGGTCCATGCCAGAACAGCTTCTGCAGAGAACTGAGTCATGTTTGAGAAAAACAGAGAAGTGTGGACGCCCATCTGCAGAACTGACAACTGGTGTTGTGAAACGTGATTTCTTGGGATACACAGTAACCCAGCCCGCGGCTGCTGAGGGATCACAGAGAGCCAGAGCTGTGGGCCGTTCCAGCAAAACAGCAAAAGTCATCCTACAAAGGAAGGTGGAGGGTTTGGATAAAGAAATCAGGCTGTTCAGCTGGGATCTGCAGATTCTCGTCTGTCCATCTGATTACAGTGGAAGTGTTGCCTTTTATTTATTTCATTACAATGTGAGCTGGTTGCCTTGCTCACCTCTCGGGCTTCAGCAGGTATTTCACCATTCCCCTGCAGAATCAGCGTGGTCCAACAAACACAGACGTGGACTGTCACCCCTGAATCTCTCTGGGATAAAGGGTAGTGCCATGTTGTGTCTTGCAAAGGGTGAATCAGTTTCATAGCAGAGTCTTTTCTGACTGATGTATGAAGAGGGTGAGATGTCCTGAGCAAATTTTTTATGATGCTTTTGTGTGTTTTCACAAGGTCTCAACAGCTTGGAAGGGACTGCATCTCCCAAAACACAGACGGGAAATGCAAAGTGATATGCCAGAAACAGCACAGAGAAGGAGAATTACCTCATCTGCAAAAAGAAGGGATGAGATACATCTATAGATCTTCTCCTTTCCATGTGGGAGGGAGGTGGCATATATTTCCTATACAACCATAGGACGTATGCTGCATAACAGGTACCAGATGGGTGTTTAAATAATCTTCAGCTGCTGCATGTCATGCTGTTATCTCATTATCCGTTACAAGTTAAATGGGTTCAAGCTGGGCCTGGACATGGACGAGATGTCTAATAGTGGTGGTGAGGCTGACATTGATGGCAATTTCCTTGAACAGCAGTCTGGAAGCTCCAAGTGGAGCACAGACCCTGCAACACACAGACCACAGTGCAATGTTTTGTGGCTGTTGTGCTGAACACATTGTTCCTCAAACCCTCCTGTGCCCTAGGCACAGAACTGGCATCCTGGCATGCCTTGATGTTGCCCTCCTGACCAGCACAGGGGTGGTGTGGTTGGCCAGCAGTGGGTCATCTTGAACCAGCTGCCACAAGCTGAAAGTACTGAAAATCTACAGCAGAGAAGAACTTTAGATAGATAGGTGCTCAGTGTGCAATAGATCTTGAACCAGCTGCCACAAGCTGAAAGTACTGAAAATCTACAGAGAAGAACTTTAGATAGGTGCTCAGTGTGCAATAGGCTTGGGGTGTCTGTGATTTAGGGTGTCTGTGATTTGGGATGTTGATCAGCAGTGAAAGTGGTGTGGTGAAAAGGAGAGGGTGTGGAAAAGGGAAGGATGTTGCAGAGAGTACAGGAAGAAGAATGGTAGGAATCTGGGGATCAGTGGTATGATCTGGAGGATACAGGGTGTTTGCAGTAGGTAATTTGGGGTGCTAAAGCTGTTGTGGTAGAGGAGGCAATGGAGATGGGGTGTCTGTGTTGCAAAGCGAGAGATAAGGGTGCAGAGATGGAGTACTCAAGGCCAAGGGTGAAGAGAGAGAAAAGTTTCAGATGAGATTTTTGCCTGGCCTGACCCTGCTTCCGGTGTGTTGGAATTTCCTGCCACCTGCAGTTTGATTGGTTTAAAGTCAGCATTTTCAGGACTTTGGGCTGGCTCACTTTGAGCTCTGTGGCAGAGAGCTCAGAGAATCTGGGATCTGGCTGGTTAGCAGGGCTCTCAAGGCAGCATCACAAGGCAGCAGACCTCCCAGCTGGCTGGTGAGCCAAGGAAAATGTCTCCAGCCAGGGGACAGGGTGCTAGGAATCAGGGCTACAGCCCCATCTTCAGTTCATGGAGTGCAAGAGTTTTCCAGGTAAGAATTTCAAGAACAATGAATCAATGCTTTTCCCAGAAAAAGTGTGTATTTTTGTTGGAGGATGTGTAATATCCTCAATATTTCCAAATGCTTTGTTTGTGAAAGAGGTTTGGAAATGTGTTGTTTTACATGAGTTGCTGGGCTGGCAAGAGGTTCCTGCAGAAGGATTCTAACTGGAGAAGGAGAGCTGGGAGAGTCATTTCCCCCTACATTCATTTTTACATAATCTCTCCCTGCCTTCTGGCTCTGGCTACATGCTCTCTAACAGCCTCAGTTTTTCTGAGAGGATTTTCCTTTATTTTTACCCTTTTTCTACCACACCCCCCCCCCCCCCCCCCCCACCCCCTGTACGCCCTGTATGTGTGGTTTTTCTTTGTTTTCTTTCCCTGCTTTAATTTCAGTATCATCTTCCAAGTGCTGCTTATCCTAAACACAGAGATGAGGCAGTGACAGGAAAGGGCTGCCACTCTGACGTACATTGGGATCTTTAAAGAGTGGGGTTGTGGTGGGCTTTATCCAAATACAGAGCCTGGCTAAGCTCTGAGGACTACACTAATGCTGTGGAAAGGCTCTGACTCATGGAATATGTTCCCTGACCTTTCTGTAATGTGACAGGAGCAATAACACAAAATACCAACATCTACATTAACGTTGAGCAGACACTGTCTAATCCTAGAAACACCCAGGGAGTCAAGAGCCTGTCATTCTTCTCTTGCAGGTAGGAAAATTGAGGTTTGTGGATGATGGAAATTTTTTTTCAACATGGCAGTTTATAGCAAAGGGTTTAACAATTCTGGTTTGTCACTGAAATATTTATTCAAGAGCTTGAGCCGTGATTAAACTTGGACAGGCTTCAAAATCCTTATCTGGGGTACAAAATCAGAGTCCCTTGGGTCAGTGTGTGGTGCTGTGCTGTGTGAAGAGGGACAGTCCAGGGAAAGATGTGGATGAGTTTGGCATCTGAGCAAAATAGAACTTTATGTACTTGTGCAGTAAATCTGCCCTTGAGAAATAATTCATTTGATCACATCTGAACCATTGTGAAATTCTGAGGTACCAGGAGGGTTGGATTTTATTCTGGTTGTTGTCTCTGAAAAAATTCCATTGAGAGGCTCTTGCCTACAACAAGAAAAAAATGTTTCCTGTCTGGATGCCCAATCTCAAAGCCCTTTTCCCTAGCCCAGGCTGCAGTCAGAGAGCAGAGTGTCGCTGTTCTGTCCCAGCAGGGTGAACAACCAGAGCTGGGATGCTGAGGTGCTTCAGGCCAGAGCTGTCCCTGGTCTGCACCGGCACAGCTCCTCCCCAGAGCAGGAGCAGGGCTTGTCAGTGCTGCCGGTGCCCCGTGGCCGTGGTGAACGCTGACAGCTCTGCAGAGGAGAAAAATGGGATTTTTAATCTGATCCCGAGTGGTTTGCAGCAGGTGGAGCTACACAGGTCGTGTTACCTGGGAGGGATGGGAGTGAGAGGAGGGGAGGGAACGTGTTTAAGCTGTGCTCGATTGTGGGTGAGGGAAGTCTCATGTTTCTTGCCTACCGTGGGAACTTGCTGGAAGTTGAATGTTTTATAGATAAACACAAGGTGACAATGCTGGCAGGACACTGCTCTTTATGGAGTGAGTCCCAGTGCTGGAACCTGCTTGATCTTTCACACATATCAACTCCACCAAGCAGTGATGGATGGAGATGGTCTTTCTCAGAACAAGCACAAGGAATTATTAAGGTGCCTGGCAGCCAAAATAGCTCTGTTCCCCCACAGGCCACTGTGTGTTCCAGGGGCAGAAGGGATGGAGGGAGGCAGCTATTTGGCCTTGGACAGAATCAGAGGTTTATGTTCACATGAACAGGAGTTGCCAGGACTGCCATGGGCTTTGAAGAGTTTTTAAATCTGTACTTGAACGATCTTAACAAGTGTCCACTTCTCACATGGACTTTTATGTCATGGACACACTCCAGTCTCATATTTTGGTGCTAGGAATAATGAAGTTAAGGAATAGCTTGGAGAAAATTGCTGTTAAGAGTTAAACTACTGGTTAACTACTGTTAACTACCAGAGCTGTGGGACTCTGGGGCTCAGGTGGGTGTTTTATGGGCTGCTTTGGGTCTCTGCTGTTGCAGGGTGAGAGGACCCAGCAGCTCAGGGCCTGGTTCACCCTCCCTGGAAAAGTCATGTGGATGTAGCACTTAGGGAAGTGGTTTAGTGGTGAACACAGGCTGGATTTGATGATCCTAGAGGTTTTTTTCCAAATGGAATGGTTCTATGATTCCACGATAAAGGCACCACCCAAAGCCAGGTGCAGAAAGCAGCAGTCTCCACTGGACCATGCAAATCCACCTGGGCTGGCAGCTGAGGGAGGCACCCTCGGGGCAGGAACTCAGGAAAGCAAAGCAGGGTGTGGAAGTGCTTTGCCATTTAGCAGCCTTGCCTTTTCACCCCTTCTGGCCTCTGGGCTCTGATTTCAAGGGCTGTGTCGTGCAAGGTCCAGATGAATAATGTATGAAATGGTAAAGATAGACCCAGTGGATGGGCTATCGATGCTGGCAGTTAGGCTCTGTTTTGACTTGTAAACTAAACATTCCTGGCGTATACATCCTCTGTGGTTTAGTGATTAGATCTGGGAACTGCATTTGGGGTCAAGTCAAGGTGCTCTCACCCGGCTCCAGCAGCACTGGCTTAGCCACATCATCTGTTCCTAATGCTCTGCTTGTCTCCCCATGACATGAACAGGAGGGGGAGGAGATCCCATAAAAAGATGATTATGATGATAATCATCATTATCATCACCATCATCACCATCTCAGTTCAGATTTTGTTTCATTTTGGAACTTATTGTCCAAGGATGTGGTTTAGTTTGAGTGGTGTGCACAGTGAACTTGGCATGTAAATATCGAACATTCCCATTATTTATGACAACACATCCACAAGAAAGAGAATTAAACCTTGTGCTGTAGGTGTTCACTGCTAAAATGGGGACACTGTGAGAGTTAAACTTCACCTGCCCTGATCCTGCCTTTGGATTTTAACCTTGTTTTTCAAATTGAGCCCAGAATTTGAAATTGGAGAGTGTTCCTGTTTGGCTTGGCTCCAGGAATTTCTGGTTTTGTTCTCTGGGCTGGCTTGGAGCAGAGTGGGTCTCGTGTGAGCCTGTCTGCCTGTATAGCAATAGTTCTCACTGAGAGAACAAGAAATAATAGGGAAACTTTAGCCCATATTCTATTTTAAATAGAATTCTGTTGTAAATAATGATTTAGGGATAAAACCGGCGTGAAAGAGGTGAAACTTCAGCTGCATGAAATGAGAAAACACTAAGTTCATATGGTGTGGGAGGATTCCTCAGGAAGAGTAGGGCATGAGTAGTGCTGTTCCCTCACTCCAGTCATGGGCTCTGATGTGGTGAGTGGCTTGTATCTCATCCAAAGCACAAAGGTGGTGGTGTTATTAAGCAGACAGCCCCATCCAATGGTTTTGGACCCTTAGGTGAAAGAGGAGTTAAAATGTTTTGGGTTGGACCAGAATCAGAGGCTGTGTTTGGCTTGGGGTTTAGCAAAACTAACACCCTGCTCTTACACCCATCTCCTGTGGAAGAGCCAAACGCAGGTCACCAAAATTAGTCTTGCAAGGGATCTGATCTGACTGGCACCTCTGCTCTGTCTTCAGCTCATGCTCAAGTAAAGACCTCTGCCTGGCTTTAATCAGCTCAATTAGCAGTTGACACTGAAGACCAAGTAGGTTCATCAGGAGAAAGTGACTATTTGTTGCTGTAATAACTTCTCCATTTGTTCAGAGAGGCTGGGTCTGGGCTGCTTGAAGTGCTGGGGAGGTTATGGAGCAAGGTCTCCTGAGCAAGAAGGGATTTGGTGATTTCTGTGGAGACTTCCTGGAAATTCCACCAGGTCTGTCCTTCTCTGTGGTTTGGGCTCAGAATGTCATTGCAGGGAAGCCTGAGGACCTGTAATTTATGCCTCAAATCTTACTGTGAATGACCTGTAAAATAGAATTTCCATAATTCCTCAATGCTAAATAAAGGTTGAATCTGAAACTGTTAGGTTCTTTTTCCAGGAGATATTTTATCTAACAGGAAGAAAAATGTACTCTGCTAAAATAAAATGTTCCCTGCAGGACTCCAATTTCCAGCTATTGTTAAAATGTGTGGTTGAGAGCTGGGAACCCTGTGGCCAACAGGGAGCTGGAATGAGTTGAAAAGAGGAGAAGGATGTGCTCTGCAAAGAACAATGTTAGGTCCACACTAACAGCACAGAAAAACAGGAGATTGGCTGTAGGATACAGAGAGGCCCCAAGGAACAGGGATGAGCAGCCAGATCTAATGCTTGATAGCTCTGAAGTGTCCCAGGCTGTCTTCTATATAACATTGCTGGAATTCCTACAGTTTGGGAGTAGCCCCTCTAGAGTACTAAATAACTTGGTGTGGAGTCATCCTAGACCCCTCAGTGAGGACTTGTGGCATTTAAAAGAAAAATGAGTTTTTAGGAGGTTGAAGGACATTTGAAGTGCAGGGGGTAAAGGAGTTGGCAGTCATGTGCTGGTCATCTGCTTGCTTCAGCACAGAGGGAAATATGAAAGTATGACTGGGGTAATCAAAAGCATGGAGAAATCTCCTTTGAAGAGAGATGAAAGCAAATGGGATTGAAGTAAAGCTGAGTAAGAGGTGCTTTCACAGACATGTTTCAAAGGAGGAGAGTGCTGGGCAAAGCTGAGCAAGAACTGCTGTTCTTCTTAATTCCCCTGTGTGTCTGCCTGTGACATGAACAAGAGGGGAAGGAGATCCCATTAAAAAATTATTATTATTTTTATTATCATCATCATCTTAATTTAAGTTGTGTTTCATTATGGAACTTATTGTTTAAATTGTGTTTCATTATGGAACTTCATTGTCTCAAGAATTTTAACAGTTTGAATGGTGACTTGACGCATGTAATTATCAAACATTAATTTCATGTACAACAACAAATTTACAAGAAAGAGAATTAAACCTTGTGATT